CGATGCCCACGATGCTCACCAGGTGGTGGGCCAGCATCAGGGCACCCTCCGTCTGGAAGTACACGCACCAGCACAGGTCGAAGAGGAAGTAGCCCAGGCTAAGGCACAGCCCGTGCACCTGAAGGGTTGTGTTGGGCGACCCTGGAGCACAAGGGACACAAAGAACTGTAAGGCACTGAGTCCCCCCCCGCCCAGGTCACAACGCCACGGTTGTCAGTGCCACGGCTGCACACAAGCAAAATGCAGTGCCAGCCTCCCCATTTCTCTGGTGCTTCCCACCACAGAGCAGCTCAGACGCCAACTACAGCCGCCACTCCTCCAGCGGGCTGGTGGTGGTGGGAGAGCCCCTCAGTGCCCTCACCCATGGAGGGACTTGGGACCGCAGCTTCCATCACTCACCTGGGTGACTCAGAGGCCAGGGCCCATCAATGAAGCCAATGTAAGCAGAGAGACAGGTGGCAAGGATGCCATGGGTCAGGGTGACCAGCCTGCAGCTCCACTCGGAATTCCGGTGCCTGTAGCGGTGGCAGAACCACTTGTAGAGGGAGAACCAGCCCAGCAGACTGCAGGCCACCCTCAGGGGCAGGGGGAACAGCATCCTGACAGGGGGACAGGGACACAGAACGGATCAGAAACACACAGTGGACCAGAAGGTCTGCAAGTATATCGAGACAAGGTGAAAAACACTTTACTCTCCTCACTTCATTTCATCTTTAATGGCACCAAGACCTCCACGTCTTTTTGATGCAGAAGAATTAGAATCTCTGCCCATAAAGATTTTTTTTTTCCCAGCAGTATTTCTTTTATACATCTTCCCTTACTGTGAAATACCAAATCTCTCAAACAAGCAAAAAGCACACTGCCAGCACAAAGTTACAGTGCACAGACAACTGTGGGTGCTGCTCTCGGTGCTAAAAGCCCCCCAGTTATGTAATAATCAAATACCTGCACCTCACTCACATTTATAACACCTTTCTGTGAAACACAAGATCCGTCTCACCATCCCTCCTGAGCATTCAGGGAAGTGCACCACAAGAAGTTGAGTCATGCTTTGGGGTGCAGGAGTTTCCAGTTGTGCAACAGCAGAAGCACCAGTGGTACCTGCTGCCCAACTCTGGCCTCACACCCAGGCTCACACCAAAGAGACTTCCCGTGATGAGGAGTCAGAGCTGCAAAGCCCAGCCTTCCTGTTTGGCCTGCTGAGGTATTCCCAGCAATGACTGGAGGCTGGGTAAACAAAACCATTATGTTTTAATGGGCCTTGGGAACATGGGAGATGAAATAAGGATGTGATTAACTGCTCTGACCAGGAGTTTCCATTCACATCCCTGGTACTCGAGGTCCAGAGTCAGGGCAGATTAGGGAGGAAGAATTCTCCTGTGACAAAAGGGACTGACCAGCTGGAGAAGGCTGGGAAAAGGAACAAGCTTTTAAACATTTTGAGGTGTTCTCCACACCTACTCAGGAAAATTTTACTTCTCCATCCCCTGGAAAGAAAGAAGTAGGGGTGTCTTCCAACTGCACATCAAAGCTCAACAGTGAATGGCTTTTAAACTGACAGAGAGTAGGATTAGATTAGATATTAGGGAGAAATTCTTCCCTGGGAGTGTGGGGAGGCCCTGGCACAGGTTGGCCAGAGAAGCTGTGGCTGCCCCATCCCTGGAAGTGTCCAAGGCCAGGCAGGATAGGGCTTGGAGCAGCCTGGGATAGTGGAAGATATCCCTTCTACTAGGAAGGGTGGAATGAGTTGATTTTTAAGATCCTTCCAACCCAAACTGTTTTGTTATTTGTCCTTAGCATATGTAATACATATTACACCCGTGCATTATGTCTGTGCCTGCATGCCAGACAGGCCAATGTCATTTCAAAACCACCAACAATTATATAATCGTAAATAATTATAAACAACAAATTTATAAAAATAAGCATATATATATATAAACACATCACATACAAAAATAATACATTAATAATACCTAAATGCAACACCATATCTAAATACAATAATAATATCTAGAATATATATTATATATATATTTAGCTATTTATATTATATTATATTATGTATATTATTATATATATTATAGATATAATTGCGTATATTATTCTATGCCGTATATATATTATTATTTGTATTACCAGTAACAAGGTGGTCCCGAATGAAAGCAGGCTCTACAATAAACACATGCGCCTAAAAACCCAGTGCAGAACAGCCCGGAAGAGCTTAAAAATTACACGGGAAAGCCAGATGGGCGCCTCCCGCAAAGCACCGTTATTTCCTTTTTTTTTTTTTTAGTACAAACAATAAAATGGAGGAGCCCAGAGATCAGAATCCAGAGAGAACAACCCGCATCCCAGAGGCACAGCCCCAGCGCCGGCCCCATCCCGCATCCCGCCCTTCCCCGCCGGGGATGCAGCCGACCCCGCCATCATCATCATCCCCGCGCCCAGCCCGGAGGGCTCCAGCCCCACCTTATTCCCGTTGCCCGGCTCCTCCCGGCCTGGCTCGGCTCCTCCCGGCTCCCGAAAGGTCCGGGGACAGGGAGTGGAGCCTTCCCTTCCCCTCGCACCCGCCGGCAGGGCCGCCGAGCCGGGGCCGCCCCCGCCGCGCCCGCGGAGGCAGCGGCCGAGGGGCACCTGGCGGCGGGGAGGAGGGACCGCAGGGATGGAGGGCATGGGAGAGCGATGGAACGGGGATGGCAGGGCTGGAGGAGGGACGGCAAGACGGCAACAGGACCCCCCCCGCCCCCAGAGCCTTCCCCATCCCCGCAGCCCTGCTCGCAGGACAAGGTGGCGTTCCCACAAAGCCCCACGCCACCCCACCCGCTCCATCACCCGCGGGATGAACAGGCACAAAGCACGCCGTGGCTTGGCTTTACTCACACCCGGGCTCTCCTCCAGAGCTCCCAAAGCTGTGTCACACAGGGCTCAAGGTGACGTGCCCTGCAGGGTTTGTCATCCAGCCGTGCAGCTTCAGCCAGGCTGGGAGAGCACACAGCCCTGCCCCGAACATCCCCTCCATCCAGGGCTTGTGCAGCAGTTACAAAGCCCAGCAACTTCTCTGGCCTGCCTTCTACATCCCCAGAGCAGCAAAATGCAGGACACTTAAAATATCTACAAAACCTCCTCCAACCAACGCACTGACTCCTGTCATGCACTGCATTTAAAACAAGCTCTCACATGCAAAATAGGGGGTTGTTTTTTTCCTTCGTCCTGCCAAGTTTTACCTTTTAAAACACAGAGGGTGGGAGTGGCTTGACCTACCTCTTACAGCACTTATTAATAAGTGTTTTCAGCTGGATATTCAACAAGATAGAGATCTTACTTTTCCAGTTCAGGCCAGCTGCAGATTCCTATTGCTACAAGATGCTCATCCCTCTGCTATTTCAGCACATCCTCATGACCATTAGTAGAGCATTTGCTTCTCTGACAGATCTTAAGTCTCATCTTAGTTTCCTCCACCTTTGCTGGACCAACTTCCCTCCAACAGCCTCAATAACCCCTGAGATGGAGCTGTTCTAATATTTAGCTCAGGATTAAAAAAAAAAAAAAAATAAAAAAAATGCTGACAGACAGAAAACTATAGGGCTAATGTTTCCAAACTGAAAGGGAGCAGGTTTAGACATTAGGAAAAAATTCTTCCCCATGAGGATGGGGAGGCCCTGGCACAGATTGCCCAGAGAAGCTGTGGCTGCCCCATCCCTGGAAGTGTTTAAGGCCAGGGGGGTAGAGCTCTGAGCAACCTGGGCTAGTGGAAGGTGTCCCTGCCCATGGCAGGGGGTGGAACAAGATGATATTTAAGCTCCCTTCCAACCCAAACTGTTCTATGATTCTATGGATGTTGACTGAGCAGCCAGGAAGAAAAACAGAGATGTTCACACAAGGCACAGACTTACAGATTTAATGCAGGAGGCAGAAACACAGAGAAACTGTGCATTTTGATTTTCTAGGTCACACAATGTGCACAATCTGCATTGTGAGGTGCAAAGTTAAATCACCTCCCAGTGGATGGTACCAGAAGTGAGGTGCAGCTTTTACACCAATTTTCCTGTTTGCTTTGTGCAGACTCAGCCATTTCAATGGGCTGTGTTGCACTGGCTCGTTTTGCCTGCAGATGAACAGAGTTCAGCAAAACAGCTCAGGGCAGGAAACCTCTGCAAACAGTTGTCTGCACTCTGCTGCCCCAGCTAGTGCAGCTCCACCCTCCCCCTGTGACTGTAAAATCACAAGGATATTTATCTCTCATGGATATTTGACAGATTAAAACCCAGGCACCTCTATTAGGAATCACATCCTTTAAAATGCAAGTAAATAAATCCGAGGGGATGCTGAGAGCATGGCCAGAATTTAAGTTACCCCATGACCTTGTGTCCATCAGGAGCAAACACCTCAGTTTAATGGCCCGTCCTTAAGTTCCCTGCAGTGCTGACTCATTGGCAAGGCAGGTTATGGGTCCATTAGTCACAAATTTGAGCTTCAGCTGCCCCTCACCTGCCCTTCACACCTCGAGTCTGACCTGCAGAGCACATGGCTCATTCTGAGCTCGTTTCCTCACCAGCTCACCCCTTCCTGAGCTGCACCAACCAGTGGTGGTTTTAATTCCCTCCAGCCTGTTTGCCTCACTTCCTTAACCTTCAGTGGCCTCCTTAAGACCCAGGAAAAAGAACATTGCAGCAACCATTTCTTTTTAAAAAGAGAACATCATTTTATTAGAGGTCTCATCACTCATAGGAGTTTTTGGAAGAGCACAGAGTCCATACCTCAGGCCCCCAGAGCCAGCCCAGCTGGAGGGCAAGGCTCCTGCTTTCCTAAACATTTTGGCCCAGTAACTTGCCTGGGTTCACAGCTGCAGTGCTTTCAGTGGACTTGTCAAAAGTGAGGTTATTTCAAGTCATTTTTTAATCTCTCCAAACACCTTATTCCAACCCCCAGCCAAGGCTGATATCTGCCTTGAGAAACACCAAAATTGGTGCGATAAGGGGCATGGAGGAGCTCCCTTCCTTCCCACTGCTCCATGAAGAGCCTCCCCTAAACTCTTGGAGAGCAGCAACCAGCCCTGCTAAGCCTGCAGGCAACACAAGGCCATTTGTTTCTCAGCCCCAAGCCAGGCTCTTATAGGAGAGTAAATCTCATCTGCAGCCTTAAACAGAGGGAAATTCACATTAAAACCCCAGGGGGAAATGTCAGAACACGATTCTGAGAGGTAAAGAAAGCAAGAGAACTAGTCCATACTCCAAGGCCTGCTGGTGTGGAGCAGATGTTACACTGAGATCTGTCTTATCATGACTGTCACCCCTGAAAATTGTCACGTATTTGACTCACTAGCCGTGAATTCAGCTTTAGTGGCTTGTAAATGATCCAACCCCAGGACAGAAAGAGCATCCAGGGGGGCTCTTCTCTATCCTCTCTCACCCCCAAAAAGCCTGATTACTGTTTTTAAGCAACCCAAGGCCAGGAGAACACCTGCTTATGGAGTTTACTGGCACGAGTCTGATTCTTGACTCTTGTTTGCAGGGGCCTGAGCCAGTCCCAGTGACGTCACACTGCTCTAAGATCAGAATCTGCTTGAATGCCAGTATTAAAAAAAAAAAAAAGAAAAGGAAATGTATCATTAAAAACAACGAGGTAAAACATTGCCTCACCTCAAGTATCATCACTCAAAGGACGACTCTACTACACCCCTGAAAGCACTTCAGTCTGGTTCTGAGGCTTTCATTCCAGCACTTGGGAAAGCACATTGTCCAAATCCAGGATTAAGGAGAGTGAGGCTCAGCAAATCTTTGCCAGGTCACACCCCTACCCATCCCCACTGGCAGGAAGGCTGGATTTTCCATGTTTGATTTTTTCTCTGCACTGTAAAACAATTCTGACTTCAGAAACGATGACAGAACACACAGACTGTGCCATTGTTGGCTGCAGACTGGACAGGTCTGGTGTTGCCACCCTCCTTGAGGCTGTACCATTGCTGCAGAAGTCAGGGAATCAGTGTCAGGTTCCTCTGGTTTCCACTCAAATCCCTCTTTTCCCAGCTTTCCCACGTTCCTCACGCTGATCCATCTCCTTCCAGGGTTAGCAAACCAGCGCCAGAAAGTCATTTTAGGGGCTCTTCTCATAGGAATAAACTCCAGTAGCCCAGGGGATTGTCCTCCCAACCCATCAGTGAGCAGCCACGTGCCCATTAGTTCTCACAGGTTCGTTCCCACTCCTCAGGTGCCTCCAGGGAAGGCGCTTCTTCACCATTTTCCTCCTGACAAAGCGGCAGATTTCAACCATGAACCCCAG